CACCCTAGACAGTGGCTGCTGCCCCCCCCCACTGCTGCCTCTTTATCAGAGGCTGCAGCACAGAATGACAGGCAGCTGGACCACTAGGGGAGCTGGTTTTTAAACTGTCTCCCCTTACAGACCAGCTCCTACCTGGCACCCTGCACTGCTGCCTCCGATACAGAGGCAGCAGCACGGAATGGCAGGGGGCTCCTCAGGAGTGAGGCCAGAGCACACAGGCTGCTGGCCCCACCCCCGGGGACTACAGAATAATCAACTAACCAATGAGAATTCTTGAGGTTACTCGGCTATTCAATTAACCGATATTTAAGATCCCTAATTGCCAGATGCAGTCCCCAGCTTGCTTGGATCCAGCCCCTGAGGCTCAGAGCTCCTCCCAGCATTGGGGAGCCCATGCTGGTGCTCTAGCCGCCCCATCACCATTCTGCCGCAGGGCTGGAGCACACAAAATCTACTAGCCTGGACATCACTAGGTTCTGGTGTGGGAGCCGAGCGTGGGGAGTATCTTTCTCCTTCTCAGTGGGGGCCACACCAGTGAGAGGTTTGGGGATTTTTTTTCTTCTTTTTGGGGGGAATGGGGTGGGAGGGGTTGGGTTTTTTTTCTTTTCACTTGTGTGTGTGGCCCCCAATTGATTTTTCTGTGGGTCAGCAGTCCCTGACCCAAAAAAGGTTCCCTCTAGCCCCGTCCTAGCTCTTTTCTGAACTCTCTACTTTATCCACATCCTTCTTGGAAGTGTGCGTGTCAGAACAGGGGACAGTATTCCAGCAGTGGTTACACCAGAGCCAGATATTAAGGTCCAGAACCACCCTATGCAAGATCCCCCTTTATACATCCAAAGATCACATTAGCCCTTCTACTGTTCTACCTTCACTGTCTGCTCACGAATGGCCGGGTTGGTGTCCAGGAAGCCATGCACAACGTGGGGAAAGATCTGGGTGTTGACAGTGGGTTCATTGAGGTATTGAATGAAGTTTTCCATCTGCAACACAAACATATATGCATGTGCTGCCAGTCAGGACTTAAATGTTCAGTCTAGTTCTGAGCAAGATCTACGTATAGTCAAAATTACCAGGACTCAACATCATCTGGGGAGAGCCAAGAACAGAACCCAGATGTCCTGATTCCCAAACACTACTTCAACACCTTTGACATCAAACCTTTCCAGACCTAGGACCAGAGCCAGAAATCCTGGCTCTGAGTCACAGCGGCAAGACACTTCTTCCCAGAGCCTGGCATTGAACCCAACTGTTCTAATTCCCAGCCCCCTCAACCTAACAACTAGGCGATACTCTCTCCCAAAACAGATCCCCAAAGTCCAGTCCACTAATTCTGCGATCTAGCCACCAAGCCACTCTCTTTCCAGAGCTGAGCTGAATCCAGAAGTGGCAGTTCACATTCTTCTTGGTTCTAAACCCTAGACAGACCCCACTCCCCTACCAGAGCCAGGAACAGAACCCAAGTCCAGACTCCCCATTCCCTCCCTGCTCTAACAAGAACATAAAAATGCTGTTCCTGCCAGGGCCGCATTATGACTTTCGTGGGCCTTCGGCACTTTTGCCTTCATGGGCCTCTCCCACCATAATAATATCAATATTAAAAATTATTTTTGATATAACTTTAAATACTTCAACATTTTTTTTTTTCTGTTTTAGGCAAAATTTAATAGATTTTCGTGGGCCTTAAAAGTTTCATTTTTTTTCTGATGTGAGAAAAAAATTAAAACATTTTCTTCCACCCTAAAAGTTCATTTTTTTTCTTCTGATTTTAAAAGAAATTAAAACATTTTCATGGGCCCCTAAAAGTATCGTGGGCCCTAGGCACTGTGCCTACTGTGCTTCATGGATAAGTCGGCCCTGGTTCCTGCTAACCCATCTGACCCCTGGATCTGCCCAAGTATGCAGGCTGATCACTGACCTGCTGCAGCAGTCGTATCCTCATGGCTCGGTCGGTGGAGGAGAACATTTTGACGATGACAGGAATGATCTTCTGCTGATATTCTTCTGCGTTCAGGAACTTTCCTACCTGCAGGAACACTGGAAGTTAAAAAGGAGGCTTTGGTCCTGGAGGAGATGTGGGACATGCAAAGCTCTACCAATAAATTAATCTGAAGATGCTCCTGGGGTACCGTTGTCAGCTCTGGGCATCATCTCCTCCACAGTCCATGCTGGTAGGCCTGGGAAATATAGGATGTTCAGATGCTCTAGTTTATGGGGAATGGGGTCCCCTAATTTCCACAGCCACTCCCCTCTTCCCACAAGATCATGTGTCAGTTCATGAGGAATGTGTAGTGGTGGCTCAGCTCTCTGGCCTCAGTTTTCCTTCTCCTGGCATGGGGGAAATGAGAGAGCACACGGAACCCTGGCATGGAAGACCAATCAAGGACTCTGATGTGGAAGAGTGAATGGGGCTCTTAGTGTCAAGCCTGGCCTCTAAGGATGGAGATTCCACCCCCTATTTAACCCATTCCAGTGCTTCATCACCCACCTAATAAAACTTTTTCCTAAAGTCCAACCTAGACCTCTGCCACTTCAACATAAGACCACTGCTTCTTGTTCTGTCCTTTTCCACCACTGAAAACAGCCTGGCTCCATCCTCTTTAGAACTCCCTCTCAGATAGGTGAAGGCTACTACCAAATTACATCTCATTCTTCTCTTTTGCAGACTAAATAAACCCAATTCCCTCAATCTCTCCTCGTAAGTCACGCACCCCAACCCCCTAATCATTTTCATTACCCTTCACTGGACGCAATACTCCAGATGTGGCCTCACCAGTGCCAAATAAAGGGAAGTAATCACTTCCCTTAATCTGCTAGCAATGCTCCTACAATGCAGCCCAATATCTCATTAGCCTTCTTGGCAACAAGGACACACTGTTGACTCAGATCCAGCTTCTCATCTACTGTAATCCCCAGGTCCTTTTCTGCAGAATTGCTGCCTAGCCAATTGGTCCCCAGCTTATAGCAATGGATGGGATTCTTTTGGCTTAAGTGCAAGATTCTGCACTTGTCCTTATTGAATCTCCTCAGATTTCTTTTGGCCCAATCCTACACTTTGTCTAGGTCATGCTGGACCTTATTTCTAACTCCAGCGTTATCTACCTTTCCCCTGAGCTAAGTGTCATCCGCGAACTTGCTGAGGGCACAATCCATGAACTAGCTGAGGGTGCAATCCATCTGATCATCCAGACCATTAATAAAGATGTTGAACAAAACTGGTCACAAAACCAACCTCTGGGGTACTCCACTTGATACTGGCTGCAACTAAACAGTAAGCCATTAATCACTACCCACTGCTGCCAACAATCTGGCCAGCTTTCTATTCACCTTATAGTCCATTCATCCAAGCCATACTACTTTAACTTGCTGGCAAGAATACCGTGGGAGACCATATCAAAAGCTTTTCTAAAGTCAAGGTATATCACGTCCCCCACTTTCTCCAGATCCACAGAGCCAGTTATCTCATCACAGAAGGCAATTAGGAGAAAATACCCCTTCTCCCAAGCACTCCAATTTCACAGGTGGAGATCCAGCCATCTGGGGCTCTAGCCAACAGAGCAAGTTTGTCCCCACTTTGAACTGTCCCTATAGGCCTACTTTGTGTTTTCCTGCCTCCTTCCTGTCTCAGTCCCACATCTCCAGCAGCAACAGCTCTCCCCTCCCCACAAGTAAAGTCCCCTTGCCAGCAGTCTTTGCTCACTCTAGGAACTACAATCCACAGAATGCCCAGAGACAGGAAACAGGCTGGTAACCATGTCCCCTAAAGAGCCAGCACAGTCACGAGATGTAAACAGAGAAATGTCACCATTAGAACAGCAGCTCACCTTGAAGAGTGGGGTCAAAATGATGGCACCAGCACTACCAAACTCAAAGGCGGTCAGCAGCTGTGGGAGGATCTTGTGCCGGCAGAAATCTTCGGGGAAAGTATCTAGGTTGTTGCTCAGCTCCTGGAAGAACTTCTGCCGTTCTGCTGGTTCCTTAATCTGTGAGGACAGGGGGAATGAGAAATGGAGTCACTGGGCCAGATTAGCCTGCTCCTTTGGGGCTGCCAATACGAGAACTAATGGCAACGAAGGTTTGGATGGTGCGGTCTCCTCTCCCACTAGGAAACAGCTGGGAATACACTAAGGATGGTAAGTATCTGGTAACTGACTAATCAAATAGTTGATGCATTTGTCCATCAGCTATTCAATTAGTCAATAGGGCACTTCCGCCTTTGAAGTGTAGCAACAGCCCTAAGGTTGTTGCTACACTTCAAAGGCAAAATCACCGAAGCCTGGGGTCAGCTGGGGACTCCCCCACTGACCCCAGGCTCTGTGCGGCACTGACACTTTGAAACACCGTGGTGATGTTTCAAAACGGCAGCGCCGCACACAGCCCGGGGTCAGGAGGGAGACCCCAGCTGATCCTGGGCTCTACGTGGTGCTGCTGCTTTGAATTGCCACAAGAAGCCTGACGCTGGGCGCCCCACAGCATTCGAAGCGGCAGCGCCACACAGCGCATCTGGCCACAGGCTCCATGCAGCGCTGCCACTTTGAAGTATCCCCTTTTCTCCCCCTCTCCCCGCACCCTTTGCTGCAATCTGACAGGGCAGCAAGGGGGGGAAGCGACCAGTCGACTATCTGATAAGCATTTGCTTATTGGATAGTCAACTAGTCCTTCACATCCCTAAAATACACCAAGTTCTTGTTCTTCCATACAGAGGCATGAATTTCCATCTCTACTAACAAGGGCTGATGTCAAACCAGTGACTTAAAAGTGAAGTGGTCTTTATCCTATTTAACCTTGAACCTGCCAGTCCCTTCCACAACTTGGGGTCACATCAGAACTAATGCCTTGTGGAATAAAAAGGCACTTTACCCCCTTTCCCTGCCTCCACAGTCAACCAGTCCCCCTTCCTCCCACCCCTCAGCAAAACTGACACTGGTACTCACTAGAGAGGAAAGACCTCACATCCCATTCTCCCTCCCCACTGTGAGGCTAGACCAGAGCTGGTGTTTTTTAGAGTGGAAAGGCTTCATATCCAATTCCCCACTCAAGCCAGTTCCAACCTCCTCCCCTACAAAATTAACTCTGCTCTGGAAGCCACTTTTTCCTATGAAGCGAGCCTACAAATGGAGCCAAGACAAAGGTCAGTACTGCCCAAGAGGGCATCTCTGGCCCACACAAAGTTCTAATACTTTCCATCCAGGGGGTGATGAGACTACTAAGGCACTGCTCTTACCTGGATCTCTTCCAGAAAAAGATTGGTCTCTACAAAGCTGTTCTTCATGAAGCCACTGGGGCCCCTGCAGTTCTGTAGGAACTTGGCAGGATTGGGGCGTATTCTGGGGTTGGCCCCCACCAGTTCACAGTAGTGGGGGACCAGCGACTTGGGGATCTGAAGAGAGGAGAGTACAGATTCTACAGTCAGGAAGAGGTGTCTTTCATGTTGGTTAAGCATTCAGTAGGGATGCTAATTCATTTGGGATCTTTTCAGCTTGGGGCCAGTAGATACCATTATCCCTGTTTGAGGAATGAGGAAACTGGGGCCTAGGGAAACAAGCTGAGCTGTCCAAAGTGACACAGCAACTCCATGGCAGAACTGGGAAGAGAACCCAGCAATCCTGACTCCGGTTCCCACCTCTTCCAAAGCTGGAGATAGAATCCAGGAGTCCTGGCTGCTCTTGTTTCCCCCACACTAATCACTAGACTTCCCACCTGCCCCCTTCCTCCTAAAACTAGGAGTAGAACCCAGGAGCCCTGGCCTTTGCTCTCCCCCCTAGATGCCTCTCCCCGCTAGAGTTCCCACTTCCAGCCTAGTGCTCTAACTATTGCCCTACACTACTGTCCAACACCCCAACCATAAACGTATTTGCAGTTGCACAACTCCATCAGGGACTGCTTAAAGCAGTGGTCTCCAACCTTTTTACACCCACGATCACTTTTTAAATGTCAGAACAAGCCAAGATCTACCGCCCCATTCTTCCCCCAAAACCCCACCCCTTCCTTGAAGCCCCACCCTCTCTATTTTGCTCCTCTCCATCACTTGCTATCCCCAGACCTTATACACTCTACACTGCCGCTTTTTTTCTATTCTTCTGTAGGAAGAGATTTTTCCAACATTTGGCCTGTCTAGACTGGATCAAATGTCAGAAAAAACCCTTCTTTTGGATGCCCCCTTATTCCTCGTGAAAAGAGGAATATAGGGGTGACCGAAAGATCATGTTTGCTCTTCTGCTTTTTTTAGTGGAAGAACAAACGCATCCCTGGATGCAGAAGAGGTTTTCTGGGATATCTCTGGAATCCTGAAAAACTCTGCAGTCTAGCCATACCCTTGCTGGGTTGAGGACGGGGGTATGTCTACACTACCCCGCTAGGTCGAACTAGCC